CACAAATGAAACCTTTTAATTTTGAAAATTTCTCTGTAATTTTTATTCCTTAAACCGAAACACAGTTTACAACTAACAAGCTGCTTAGTGGTTAGAAATAAACTTTTTTTTAAACTAATAATACATTACACAGACTAGTAGAGTGTCTACTGCCTATGACCCGTGTTTTATTGTTAAAATTTAACACCCATAAAAAGATAAAGCGACTTTGAAGCCCGGAATTCCCCAAGGATGGCTTACCTACAGTTTACAAGCGCGTTTTACATTAAGGTAGGATATACCTCCACGGTAGGTACGTCATTTTATAACTCGCTCGTTGCAGTAAAACCTCTTTATTATAGCCTCGACCTCGCATACGGAAATTGAGTTGAGAGTACGAATATTATAATTGAGTAAATGTTTTTTTTAGTAAACATATATTAAAGTAATTGTCAATTCATTGCCCGTTGCGTTTAAACGTTTTTTGTAGGGCAATTGAGTCAACGTTATAATTAAGGGTAGACTATGTAAGGTATATGTTTTTAAAGATATATGAGATTATGTAATTTATGATTATGTAGAGGACCATCTTATACCAAGTCGCCTTGTTGGGAACCTTTATTGACGGCCTCGGTGGTCTAGCGGTATAGGACATCGCTTTTCTTTCAATGGTCGCGGGTTCGATTCCTCGCACGGTACAAACATTTGTAAACATTTGCATCAGTATGATTGTTTGTATCGGTATGGATGTTTTCAATGTAATGTATATTATGTACGTATTTACAAAAATATATATCTATATATTTATATCAGTTGTCTTGTACCCACAACACAAGCTCTGCTTTCTATAGAACTAGATGGCGCTGTGTTAATTGGGCAGCGTTATTTATTTTATTTATTGTTATTTACTTTATCAGAATTTCAGCCAGCTAAAATGCAGTCTGTTTATGTTGTGTTTGGTGTAAAATTACATGTTAAGGCGTTATAATATATTAGTCTTAGTACGGGTACTATAGGCGTACAATGATGAGGTTATGTCAATAGCAAATTTCATATAACCGTTTCTTACCAACTTATGCAAACTTTCAAATTGTGGAATGAACTACCTACCGAAGTTTTCTCGCGAGTCTACACCATAATGATTTTGCTGAACCCTTAAAAACTTTAATATAACCATTAAGGTTTTAAAGGGCCGCCAACGCAGTTGTGATACCCCTGATGCTTCAGACGTCTATAGGCGACGGTAATCGTTTACCATCACATGGGCCGTATGCATGTTTATCACCATTGTAGTATTATAAAAAAAGGTGAACCAGCATCTTAATTGCCATGGAAAATATTATTCAACAATTGATGAAGCAAATCAAGTACGGTTCTCAAGTATAAAACTTTAACTGATTCTTATATAATTTTAAGAGCTTCTCAGGAAGGTGTCATATCTCCGTACTATACAAATACTCTGCCATATCTCAACTCCCCACAAATGAAACAATATATTAAGTAATCTGCTTGACAGTAGAAATTAAATTATTTACGGACAGGTAAACACATAGCTAAACTAGCGTTTTGTGCTTAAGTTATTATTTCCTATTTACAATGTATGTGTGTAGGTTTTAATGTACAATCTTTACATAGCACAAAATTAAGTTGCTTCCGCATGTCTGTTCGCTTAGATCTTTTAAACTACGTAATGGATTTTGATGCAGTTTTTAGCAGTGGATAGAGTTATTGAATAGAAAGTTTTATATGTATAATACATGTAAACTCGTGCGAAGCCGAGGCGGGTAGATGGTAAGATTTAAATGTTAAAATTTCGTTTAATATTATTAATAAGGTTAAACGGGTTTTAATATGAATAATTTGGTAAATAAAAGTATTATTTACCTCTCTCGATCGAAATCAAAGGTCCGCTAATGTAAGATCTCCTTGGAAACTCTTGTGACTAACTCCTGATGAATTGGGCACTGTGGGCTAACTGACTTACGACTATTTGCTCATCCTATCGTAACCCAGTAGTGCGTCGCCAGAGTAACCAGTAAATGAATATTTTGCTTAGTTTTATATACATAGATAAAAACATAGATGTGTGTACTTTTAGTATTAGGCATAACATCATTATATTTCTCTTTAGGATTAGATAATTGTGTTTGGACAGATTTAAGCCATTACAGGTACACGAGTTGAATAGATTATACCTTATACAGACTATATATAGGATATGCGTAATTTTATGTTTGTAACATAAGCATACTGAAATGGACTCAGGATCCTTTAGAGATTTTAGTTTTAATATAGTCATAGTGATTCACAAATGGTTGATTCTGTCCCCTCCGATCGATCCCCCTTCCAATTCAAACGGTGATGAAAATTACGACGGCCTGAGCCAAGGTTCGAACTCCTAGCGGTGCCTTATACTAAAGTTGTATCCGTCAGGCAGGAGTTGGCCTTCAGCCGCTCCATAAGTCCTGCCGCGGGTTTGGAGTGCCATCTGCACTCGCCCCGTATCGTCCAGTGAAGCTGTAAAGGCCAGCTGCGCCTAAAAGCATTAGAGTAGTCCGAAAAAAGGAAGCTAATATTGATAACATTATCTGATTGCACTAATTATCTGATTTAACGAATGAGTGCGTAGCGGTTTCTATATTGATTATCGCATACCTCTAACCTGTTATCGTGTAATTATTTATTTAAAAAACCTCCTATTCAAAAGAGCAATACACAAGTTTCTTACTCGTTCTTCTTGTGATGAGTCTGCGTTCCGAATGAGTGGTACAATAAAAGAATATGACTATTCAAAAGTTTGCATTGAGTTTATTTGAATAAAGATTATTTAAATTTTTGCTAGTTTAGAACTAGGTAGAGCTGTGTAATTATCCTTGGTTGTTATTGTTATTGTAAGTTGTATATTATTTGGCAGCCTTACATATTCAGTAAATTTAAATTATCACAAGTGTCTATAATCTCCTTCAAAAAAAAAATTTTGAGTATTATAATGAATCATCTTCAAATGGACGTTGTGGTTTAGTGGTTAAGTGCTCCAACTTATAAATGTCAAAAGAAGAATTCGAATATATCTGACAACAAAAAACATTCAAATGACGTCACGCATAATGACACTTTTTTTTTATTTAAAAAAAAAAGGGGAGCACTATGAGCTAATGTCACGTATATCAAAACGTCGATAGCTGTAACCTCTGCCTACCCCATCTCAGATTACAGCCAGTCGTCATACGTACGTATGTTAGATAAAAAACAACAGTGACTCAATCCAATTGATTATTCAACGCTTGTCTCTGATATTATCCTTGTAATAAATGGGTCTCTATGGGCGCTAGTTGTGCTATTGTTCAATAATATTAATTATGGTCACTCTTCCGTGGTATTCATTGTAAACTAAGTCGCAGTATTACTTAACGCATCAACGCGCTGTCTATTAATGACTTTTTCTTATGTACTAATAACTATACGTCATAGCAAATGATGGTATGAAATTATAGCAGGGAAATAATACAAGCAATTATGATTGTATTAACAATAAGGGGCTTTTATTGCTAAAAGCAGTTTTTTTCAATGGTACTGTTACTGTTACGTTATAATATATAAATTATATTATATATTATAAATAACGAACTGATGGTTATTTCATTATATTCAAGTTACAGGCTTTGTTTACACACCCTAAGATTAAATAATACTAAGTAAAAATTGTAAAATGAAAAATGTTAATTTGTCGATAATTATATTATAGACCTCTATAACTCAACCGAAGTTGGCGCACTAACTAACAAGGGTCGCCCTGCAATGTATTTGCCAGTACGAGTTACATATTTCCCATCTCTTCGCTTGCCGGTTCTTCGAAGTATATGGTCGGTATTCTACTAAGTCAGCCAGCTAATACTTTCGTCTGCATTTTACACTTTCCTTTATTTACAAGATTCTTCATTACAGATTCTATCATGTAGCGAAACATGCAGTTTAATATGTTTCGTCACTAGTACAGTGATGTATGTTTTTTTAAGACTTCACAATTTCGTACATACATAAAGAATACCATTTTAAAATATATTTACAACATAATCACAAAAAGAATCAAGATATTCATATTGAGTCACAAGAAATTCATCTGAGTCAATCATAGTGAGTAATATTGAGAAAGTCCTTAAAAATTGTATTCCCTGGACAATATCGACAAGATATTCTCATACTTATTTCGCTGTATTGCTGTGCTAATATGGTAACAAGGAAATACTGGGATAGTTCCTTTTAGGTTTCCTAATGCCTCCACAAGCTATTTTATTAATCGTATGTAAAAAAGAAATATAGAAGAAAAGAGAAAGATTTTCATAACGTTTATCAGGGTAGAGCGCAGTGACAAAAGTATATGACCCCATCAGTATTGTAGTCCACTGCTGGAAATATCACATAGACATTTCTATTTTAAATAATCATAAAGAAATATATAAATCTTTCAGTTTTCTATTTATTGTAGGTCCATCAAGGCAGTTGCTAGTTCTTAATTGTAACAATTGAAAATCTATCGATTTATGATTACGTATTGAATATTTGTGAATTACAGTTACATACTAAGGTGTTCACATAATTTGACATTTTGAAAATTGACATAATTTGTAACGAGTTTTGAAAGTAAAAAAATCATTTTCATTAAGACTCTATACTTAACATTATATTTAAAATAACAACTATTAATTTATAACTATAGAACATATTCACCTAAATGGCATATTTTTTATAATAATGTAAACACGCGTATAGCTACATACCTAGCTAACTGGTTATCAGATAAAACTTTCATTTTAAAATTATAACACCAATAAAAACATTTCCTCAATCATGCATTGCTATTATTGAACTAAAGTAACCTTCTGTCAATTGAACAAACCAAACAAACAATGTGTGCATTTCATCTAATTACTATAATGTGTACGGATGCGTAAAAACCCTTGCTACCTACCTCACTTCATATAAAAGCTGTAACTCAAGAACATATTCAATGCTAACTCGCTTGTGAATTGATACGATCGCGTTGTGCATTTTACAATAGTTTAAAAATGAATTTATTGGTGAGTGCAGTTCATATAGTAGTGTTGTGTTTTTAATAAATCTGTATATAAATGAATTACCGTTTACGAAACTCGGTCGGCTGTTGTATTAGGAAATAAACTTCGCCAAATTTGTTCGAGTTTGGTCCATGGGGATTGTGTTTCTCAGTTATTAAAAAAGTTTAAAAATTATCGTTTAGAACATCGTGGCATAGTGGTTTACTACTGTGGCTCATAAAAGTCAAAGGTCATGAGTTCAAATCTAGAAATAAACTTGTGTGTCAATTTCCTTTTCGGCTGATTCCTTTTTCGTCATCACGTTGATTTCAAAGAAACTTAGTGAAATATTCGCATGTCAAGTTGCGTTCACCACAAATTATGTCACAAAAATCCCCCTATCTACCTCCTCTGGTATTATAGTCGCCAAGATTAATATTTGTTTTGATAAAAATTCAGAAAGCATATGGTAATAAATTTTATGAATAAGTATATTAACTTGTTCGGGTCATGGTTGATGATGGCTGATGCACATAGATTCGTTGATGATCCAATAATAAACGTAATGCTTTTAGTTTTCTTATAATAATAATACTAAAATTACCTAATTATATATAATGTAAATAGCGAAGTTAATATATAATGTAAGCTTTTCAAGTGTATCATTCATACATTGCCGACAATTGACAATGCTTATGTCTACCCTATCTGTCATTACAGTCGTAAAGGTAGTATTATTCACTTTAATGCAAATGCTATGTATATGTATAATGTATGTATATGTATATGTCAAAGTCTATGGCTGGTTGCAATAAGCCAGTTACTCCAATGTTTTTTATGATGCTTTTAGGTCCCAAAGTTATAAAGAAAGAATATATGATGGGATTTTGTAGTCTCAGCTAAACAAATTACTTGAAAATATATCTATTTTAAACCATTTAAAATCCAAATCTGTTGGGTTGGCCGGCCTACAGCTTTGCAGGATAAAAATAGGGACGATTGCAGAGGGCACTCCAAATACGTGGAAGGACTTTTGGAGCGACTAATCATCAAATCCAGATTCACGGATAAGACTTTAGTTTGAGGGCACCGGCTGGAACCTCAACTCAGGTCGTAGTAATTACGTTCTCCATTAGAATTATGTAAGGGTATATATTCGGAATAAGTTTGCTGAAATTAAACTCGTTGTATAAAGTGATATAAATAAGATTGTCGGCGAAGGACTATATATATTGGGCTGGTTAATATAATTATGTAAACGTGGTTTTTAGGAAGAAATAATATATTTATTTGTACGAGAATAAAACAGTTAACAGTAGAAGAATGACAATGACATAATTATATTTCTTCTCTATTAAATAATAGGTAAAAAACATAAATAATATATAAAGAGATTCATCGTGCACAACGATAGTTACATTATATATCACTAATTTATTTTTGTGCACTGGAAGCTTGGGGTTACCATATCGGTATTTAAATTTTGAGTATAAATAACTGGTTTTCAAGAACTTCAACTTAACTGTTCCAGTGTCAGTCCAATACGGTGTTCAATATGCCTACAATATATAGCTAATATGCCTGCCTTTGAATACACCTTTTGGCATTCTGTAGCACAATTCTTGAGGGGTTATAGATACACTATAAACCATTACACTACGACACCGATCTGAACGCCTTTTGAAACCGTGGGACATAACAAACAACTAGATACGTATACAATGTTTTTGATAAGTACTTCTGCATATATGTATTATATTATATTATGATTTACAAAACGAAAAAATAAGTATTTGTGTCAGTCGTCTAGTACACCTAACATAGACTCTGTATGTAAAGTAAAAAAAACACATTTACACGCTATCATATTTTTCCTGTTTACGTAAAGAGATAATAAAGAGACTCATTATAAAAAAGCAGTAGTAAAATCTTTCTTAAACACAAAGTTTGTTAGTATCAGCCGTATTCGAACTCACAATATTTTGGTCAAGTCTGTGTAGTGAATCACTAGGCTACTGCTCTATAAAATGTAAAAATATACCTGTACACAAATAGGTATATAGGTACATATTTTGATATTCTGCGTACATTATCATTAACGAATTCGACTATCAAGATTTCAATGAATTCAAAATATTCAAGTATATCTATATAATAAATAAATAAAATGATATCATCCGATTAAATATATTAAATAGATAGTGTTACCTATAGGTATATCAGGAAGTTTTATAATAGCTACTGATTAGAATTAATTAGTTTTAATTTTCACGAATCGGCATACTATTTCAACAGTTTATTAATACTTGAATCCTATGTTATAAAGACATAAATTATTAGGAGTATAAACATATAATTTTTAATGGATGATAATGGAACTGTACTCCAGCCTGCGTTAACGGATTACACTGGCGGGGCACCACTGATTAACATGAAATCCGGCCAGTCAGCCCATCGTGACAAAGTCACCAGGAATTTATCATGATGGATTCCAGAGGAATAGCGTCGTCTTGATATAGTACATTACTAGCAAACGGGCCTTAAGTCCACATTCCTAACATCTCATAATAATAATCCCCTTTCCCCACTATGAGTTTAATTATTATACATAATGACATTAATGGTTTACTAACCTGAATGTGTACTGAACTACAAGTATGTTTGAAAGGAGCTAATATAAACTCTATATTAATTATATTTCTTAACTGTCTTCTTCTGTCTTCGTCTCTTTCTCGGTTCTGAGCGTTGTCCTAATTGTCCACTTCCAGTTCGTATCCAGACTCTTTATATATCTATTTATATGTGTAGAAATCGGATAAATTAGTCTGTAACAGCATAATTGTTCTAAATCATCCCGACCGAGATTCAAAGGAACTTCACTTGCGCAATGTGATGTACCTACCACTGCATCACGAAGGTCATAAATACATTGTATTTTTTTATAGAATATATTTTTACTGGCGTGCTCAATGGCCGTGAGTGGCGCCCAGCGGCTGGGTGTCACCAGCGAAGTAGAAGGTCAACGGCGCGGTGGCGGTTATGGATTGCTGAGACCCGGGTATAACTCAGGCTATCAGCCCGGTTATGGAGGTTACCAAAGTAACATTGCATATCCGGGTCAAAATAGTGGTTTTGGAGGTAAAATATGCATTGTTTTTTTTATGTAACCGGGTAAGATGGATAATAGATGCTTACGCCCATGATAGTCATGAATGCGTTGTCATAGTGACAACGCATTCATGATGACGCATCATGCCCACTTACAAAATTTCGTCTGAAATATATCTTAACAAGTAAGCTGTTTAGTATCAGGAATAGGCAAGACTTACAAAGTAGGTACCTAATATACATATAAATGGACTTAATTAACTATTTCTTATACTATCTTCTAGCACATACAATGATTTGTTTTATTAATTTTATTAATGGCAAAAAAGTTACCAGATTTTATGACATCTGTCGCATACCACAATCGGAAATCCGATTGTCATAGTGGAGCCCGAAATAAAATTAATATTTATTCATCCTTTTGATACCTGTTTCAAAATCAAAATATGAATACTTATGCTTAATATCCTTTTTATCTTCATCTAAATAAAAAGCAGACAAAGTCAGGGGAGCCAGCCAATGTCTAAATATATTTTTCTATAGGTTATGGCAATGGTGGTTATGGCGGCGCAGGTTACGGTGGTAGTTTCGGCAGTTATGGTGGTAGCGGTTATAACAACGGCGGTTATGGTGGTTACCCATACGGCAACTCTGGTTATGGTGGCCAGAGTTATCCAGGACTCGGAGGTATGTCATGAAAAACCTTGAGATTTCTAATGATAGGAAGTTACTCATTTACTTTTGCATTTCGGAATAATGATAGTATCTAAACTAGCAAATACCTACCATTGCCCATTACCATACAAAAAAATCATAAATCTTTCATAATATATATTTTTTATATGTTGCTTTTCATAACGTTTATTAACGTGCTTTTATTTTATATAAATTCTTATTTTTTTAATCTTTGGCTACTTAATAGAAAAAAATATTAATCTGTTGGGTCTCATAGGTCCCAGACAGTACAGAGTGAAAACTTCAAGCCCCTCCTGAGGTTTCACCCTACATTAGTATAAAAACAAAAAGTAATAATCTGTGTAAAAAGTATATTACTATTCAAATGTTGACAGGTGGTTATCGCCCAAACTACAGACCTGGTTTTGACCGACCTGGTTATTATCCGGGTGGCAATTTCGGAATTGGCAACATTGGTGGCAATACAGGGTATAACCGCCCCGGATATCAATACAGGCCCGGTTACGACCGGCCGTTCCCGGGTAACTCTGGAAATTACTTCGGAGGCTACAGTGATGGGTATAGCGACTCATTTAGACGCCTGGGCAGGAAAGCTGCTGAGACGAAAACTGGGGAAACGAAACAAGAGGAATAATATATAATATGTTGATGATTTTTTTTTGTTAAAGATCTGAATTAGTACCTGCAATTTGTATTTATAATTAATGTAATAAATTAATAGTAAAATATTCGTTTTGAGTTTTTTTTTGAGGCCTTTCCAACTGTTAGTAATCTATCAATTGCCTTAGAATAAAATAATCTTGCCTATCAATATTTAATAACGAGACACTGAAATAGGATTATTTCTAAATTATTTTAACAAATGCTGTTGTCAACGACACTTCAATAATACGTTTGTTATTTAGATTGGATATAATTCGCCCAATTTGTAAAGTATTATCAATTTGCCACTGAATTATTCCTCATTTCATTTTCGGCGAGAATTTTTAAGAAGGTTTTTTAACGGAGTGATGCTCCGTTAAAAAACCTTCTTAAAAATGCTAAATCTATAAACATTAAAAAATCTTCATTATTTTCAGACATACAATACAATTTTACTACAATGCAAGAATTATTTTAAAGCCTAGTTTTCATCAGTCCATATAAAAATTTTATATCCATATATTTGTTTTACATTGATTATTTTTAAAATAAGTTAATCTAGATTAAGTTCTATTTTACAAATATATCTTATGTTTATGTTATATTTTGCAAATATAACTTAACCTAGAACCTACCTTAATTCAGAATTGTAACTATTACGTAGATGTTTTAATAATTTCGAAAGATTCGAAAATTACGATTTAGATTCTGAAGTCAACGAAGATGAATATGTAAATAAATGAAACAAAACATTAAAATCCCAACAATATATTGTATAAAATCATAGTCGTAATTTGAAAAATAAATTATAATTATTAGCATAAAATTAATTGAATTATAATGGAAATGTAATTATAATTTTATTAAACGTAAACAATTATATAAATAGGATTAACATTATAATTATAAGTTCAAAGTGGCTTGTGGCAATGCACTGACATAGTGTGCAATGTCGCCTATATACAATGGGCATCACAAAATATTTTTCAACACATCTTCAAGAATCTAATTTTACAGGTTTTCGATATATAGAGCAGTTAATAAACAGGCGTGCGTTATGAACGCAAATAGTGAAGTTATATTCCATTACCGCACTATTTGCTATTTTTTAATAAAATTTCGAACTGAGGGCCACGCGGCGCCGTACAGTAGGCAGCGCGCTGATTTAAAAAAAGTAAAACAGCGGGAAAGAGACTTTATGCATCACAGTGTTATGGTTGAGTTTATTTAAAATCAAGTGTGACGATATACGTACATATTTAACATACTTGGCTCTATTACACCCTCGCCTTCGGTTCGGGCTGAAATTCCGCCTCGTGTGTTATAACAATCATAATGTACTATGCTATCGTAATATACTAGTGATGTTCATGACATCCATCATGTGTTGTCTTCCCTGAGGTCTGCATTATTATCAGTCATATTTCATTCTTCACCATCATTTCACAGAGTTGTATAGGAAGCTGATTAGCTTAGCGGCAAAATTAAGTGAATATCGCACCTACGAAGACAACTTTGTACAAAGTCATTGGTAAACGTAGTGTCTTCAGGGTAGTTACACCTCTACCCTTCCCATATTATGGTAGATAATTGTTTAATCAACTAATTCATTTCCAAATAGAGTTGACGTTTGATTTGCAGTCGGACATAAAATATACTTTATGTCCGAATCTTTACTAATACAGATAACATATATTCCGCCGACCCCAAATCAATGCGATGAGAGCAGGAAGATGTTGAACTAAATACTTTTATTCTCAAGAGCTACTGAACCATTCAGATGTCATAGAGTTGAAAAAGGAGGCGGCACCAGAGCGTGCGTTGGCGAAGTTGAGTGGTAGAGACTTGGTCATGATCTCCGAAATGTCAGCCTTCGATTTGCCGGGACTTGATGTTGTTGGCTTCTTTTTTGTCTATAAAAATAAAATTCATGTTATAGTATGAACAATAGACAATACATGTTTGTATTTTTTATGTAGGTGACGGAAAATTACAATCGTTGTATATAGACACTAAAAATTGCATCAGAGACATCACAAATTGAATTTGTGAAGCCAGTTGCCCCCTCACTAATTATTATTTTAATATTAAGTTTCATATTTCAAAACCCTGTAAATTATGAAAATATAAAGTGATAATTTTCTAGTAGAGAACGTATTCAATTGAGGAAATTTTTTCTGATTAGATATTTTGATTTTTTAATAAATTTTAGTAGTAAATATTTTTTTCTGATATCTCTTATTTTTTTTATCCACATTTAGGAAGAATTAATATATGTACATAATAAGTTTGTGAACGTAAGAAAGAATATAGTTAAAATTAGGAATATATTTAGGAGTTAGGCTCTTAAACTAGTAATTAATACGGAATGTAATCCAGTTTTAATAATTTTAGTGAATTAAAGATATAATTAATTTGGGAAAACTACGTTCCAACAAGCATTAATATAACACGTCAATGTAAATGTGTTGATAATTGTACAATCCGGGCGATGTAAGTTGTCTAGCTAAGCTTATGCAAGAATTTAGGTGGCGCCACATGATTATAACGTAAGCGAAGTCATTGCCAGTTTGCATATTATCTGTGTACAGTTTGTTTGCAACATTATTTGGACATACTTGATGGCAGCATACCCAGTTTTTTTATACGATAAAGGAAAGAAGGATTGTGAGATATAGACCCTATTGCTAAAAATGTACAGATTAAAATCCAATATTAATTGCTATTCGCAGATGATTTGGCCCCGGCGGAAAAACTGACTAGATTGAATTCTCATTATATCATCTTCCACTGGTGCCAAGTCCAATGGTGAGCATTCTATACCGTTCACAGGAGGATACATTATTTGGTCATAGACCATTAAAGAGACTACATATTAAAGTAACATAGAACTTAAATTCTTTAAAAAAAAAAATAAGAATCATCTTCAATAAATGTTAAAACTTGAAATTAAAAATAAATACTCTTTGTTCAACATAATTATATAGGAATATTGTTCAGCCAACTAATACCGCACGGATTATAAAATCACACATATAACTATATTATTGAGCGTAGCACGAAGTGCGAGGCTATCTTAGAGATCAGATTTGCACTCTTTGTAACGATACTCCTCCGAAACGTCTTGACCGATCGAAACCAAAACTCGATCTTCGGGCAACCATCGTTTACCACTCAAGAAAATTCCGATCGGTCAAGGCCGAGTTTTTAAGAATAAACGCGCTCCGCTCAATAAATGACCTGGTATGTATATAACATACCGGTAAGAAACCAAGCTAATATATTATCAAATCAAAAACAATACAATATCGTTGTATTAGTAATAAATTACAAAACAACAACTTCATTCATTTCTATTAATACTATTCCATTATCGACAAACCGATACCATACCCATTCCATTCATAGTATGAAGAAATCTGGACTCTGTATGTAAATATATAAAATAATATTTTAGATAGAGATGTTAATTTGATGATTTAATTCGGCCGGATAGGCAACCGGCCGAATTAAAAAAAAATATCTGGGTAAATAAAAATTTTTTTTTAAGGGGTTACATGGGTTTCACGGTTTCAAAAAATCGAAATTTTTTTTTTGTCTTATTAAATTCTATAACATCTCTAGAATATTGTCCTAAATTTTCAAGTTGATCCGACTAATAGTTTCGGAGATACAGCCTTGAAAAGCTGGACGGTCGAGGTCAGGTATAGGCTGAGGGCGCAGTAGGTAAAACGCAGCTGCAGCTCATCTATTGTTAGCTGTAATTCTTGTCCCTTTTTTTTCTTTATATAAGGTAAACTACTGGAAAATATTTCATTTGGTGATTTCTCGTTAAACTACGAAGTTCATTTTGAGGTTATAAGTGTTTGTTGTGAATTTTATTCGATAAAAAATGCCGTTTAAAGTGTCTAGAACCCAGATAACGGAAGGTGTTCGTATCAGCATTATTATTAATTATGCACGGTATGGACCTAAAACTTGGCCCAAATTGCCATGAATATGCCCGAAATATGGATGAAAACCGGGTGACCGCAGCCGAAAAGAAATCTACTACGAGCGAGACTCGTGAAGCCTAGATTCGTCATTGACTAGAGCAAAAGGATGCCCTGGACAATGCAGGTGCAGCAGGTTCTCTACTTTATGGCCCAGGAATCGACGAATCAATGTAAGTTAAAAAAAAAAATACCCTCTTTTATTGTCTTTAACTTTAAACGCGTTTTTCTCAAAACTATGTTTTCAAAGACGGTTGTCAAGATTTCTCGCGAACTACTCAACCGATCTTGATGAAATTTTACACAGGTCTTCGAGATATCATTTACAAGGTTTTGAACGAAGGATTTTTTTTTATTTTAATTACAACTATTTTAAAAAAAAAAAATGTCGAGAAATTTTCATCGAAATTTGCATTTTTTTTATAAAAACGTCTGCCAAAAATCCAATTTTCATTTATTTTTTTTTTCCTTCGTCCAATACCTAGTTTATTGTCTTTACTAAAACACGTATTTTTTATTTTTATTTCAGATGATCCTGAAAGAAGTTCTGCTGACAACGCGGAGGCACCTTTTTTCCGAGGGACTGCCGGAAATGGCGTCCTAATGACCGCCATTTTGATATTTTTTTTTGACAATTTTGCAAAATGTTTATTAAATATGTATCTTTTAAATAAAAAAAAAATCATTAAAATATTTCATTTTTATATGTAAAAAAAATTATTGAAAAAAGGCCGTTTTTTGCTCGAGGAAACCCATGTAACCCCTTAGTAATTATTTGCTTTCTTATTTAGTCTTAGTATTACTTAAGGAATAAAATATGTTATAGTTTAATCACTCAATAGTAAATGACTCTTATAGAGAGAAATTGAATTTATTAGTTAGATAAGTTCCGCCGGATATCCGGCTATTCGGTCACATGGTTGGCCGAATATCCGGTATCCGGCCAAACTGCTATCCGTTTCATCCCTATAAAATATACTACATGTAATACCAATTACTAGAAAGTCAGTTATAAATATAGGCAGTTATATATTAATATATAAGAGAATCTGTCTATCTGTTGCATTTTGACGACTAAACTATTTAAATGAAGTCTGTAGCTCAATAATGTATACTGATAGCATTAAAATATTATAACACCATATTTGAATTTTAAAAAATACTTTGAATATGAATAATTGAACCTTGCTCCCCCTTTCCTTATTCGCTCTAATAGTTGAAGCCCCAGGGTCTATGGAATCATCTAGTTTACAAACTTGTAACATAATATTTTAAAGGGCAATTAATATCATTACATAATACTTTTAATAAGAGAATTATTGAGAAAAATAGAGGCGACATACATACAAATTTTCTATATAAAGCAGTGTATACGTACCGGTTTATCCTGTTTTTTAAGATGACTCGGTGGAGCCGCCACAGGAAGGAGTGAGAACCAGTGAGACTCGCCTGAAGCTAGAAGCCCGGCCGCTTTGTCGCCACTACCACCAGACAGAACCGGTTTGGTACCGATAATACCGGTTAATTGACCATGATGGAGTATAAGACTGCCTAGAAGTGTCTGTAAAAATAATGATAGTAATATTTCATTCATAAATATTGTACAATTTAATACATTTAGCCCTGGCTTTCGAAATAGGTAAACCTGTACAGTTCCCTCCAACATATATGAGTACATACAGGAATAAAAATATACAATACTAGCTACTCACCCCGGTTTGGCCCGGGTGTACATGTATTATACATATAAACCTGCCTCTTGAAACACTATCTATTAAAAAACCGTTTCAAAATCCGTTGCGTAGTTTTAAAGATTTAAGCGTACATTGAGACGGACAGACAGTGACAGTGACTTTGTTTTATACTTATACAATAAGATTACTACATTTCACGTATACCATGTTGTGTTACACCTTATATTATCTTGGTGATGACGATACAAAGTAGTTACCTACTTATATATTCTTACTTCGGGCACTCACTCAGAAAAATTTGGTGCATTTGCATACTTCTATATTCATAAAAGTATAGTAGATGCTAGCACCGTAACATTATTCGTGTAACTAGGATTAGTAACTATTAATTACAAAAAATGGCAATGAAGTGTAATGTTAACTTCACACTTCACAAGACACTTTATATATGGATAACAAGTAGTTTTTACTTCCGCTTTTTCAGATAAAATATAGCCCATGTCTATCCTCGACATACAATCTATCTCCACATTTTTAAAATCTGTTTGGCCGTTTAGCCTTGATAAGGTGACAAACATTTAATTTTATTATACATAACTAAAACTAAAATTTGGAATCTAGTAAATAAGATCTAATGCAGTCAACTTAATTACCTGTACTCTTTGAACTGATCTCTTCAAATTTGTTTGTATATAAGGATAGAATACATCATAATCGAATGGATCGATCTTCTGTCTCAAAAACTCGCAAATATTATGTGAGAACTCCATAGTTTTCTTGTTCTCTCTAGGCACAAGCAGCAATGTTAAATGTCTTATATCCATTAAAATTTGAAGGCCACACCTCTGGTTTATATCCATCTCGTTCTCTCTAACAACTTTATCGTAATGTTTGAACGTGATGTCTGTAATTTTCTCAATAAACATAGTGTGGATTTCTACAGGTAATGTGTGTGGAACAACTTCGTCTAATATTCGACTTATCGAATATAAGTATTCTTGAAGTTTCAATGAAGGCCCAGCGGGTACTTTTATTGTAGATTCAATTGCGTTACCTTCATCGTCTTTCTCTTCTATTTTTATGACATCCCATTGCTGAAAAAACATTTTTAATTAACACAAATTGCAAATAAGTTAACACAACAGACTTAAAGTAGCAACTTTTATTCTGTTGACGAATATTTTAATTAAAAAAATACTTGGTTTAAGGCAAAATTTTGCCCAGAAATTTAATAATGAAGAAAATTAAAATGAATCTGTGGAATAAGTATATTATTCTTAGATAGATAGCTAATGGACCTTATTCATTTTGAACAATTCTGGTGAAGAGTGTGATTCATAAATCGTAAATATTTTGCATCCTGTAAGCCATTTTTTTCAGGCAAAATAAGGATATTTTTATTCGCATTTTTAATATTACCAACAAAATGCATATAAATAAATTGCGTATAGTCTTTCCCTTATACTAATTTCCTCTAATATTCTATCTTATCTCTTATAATACTTACCATCATCAAATAATCTATATTAGCTTCCAATGTAAACTCCTGTGGTAAACCCTTGGTCAACTCCTCCACATGGACCATCACAATTTCAACCCACTTCCCCCAAAAAGAAAGGCAGCTCTCTTTGAGAACAGCGCATAGCTCGCTCCACTGTTTAGCAGCATTCGCATCAACATTTATAATGCCTAAAACGTTTTCTTCTTCAGGAATATAGCACTTGCGCAAATGTGGCATAAGGGTGGGTATTGCTTGCGTAAAACGTGCCGTGTATATGGCTGTGCTTTTGCGATGGAGCTCAGTTGAATGTAATGTAGGCTCTTCGAAGCACACCTTCATGTAATGTAGCATGCTGTAAAGAATAATAATTTATTCAATATTCTCAATATTATATCATTCCAGAAGAGGTGGTCTGAGCCATTACTAACTATGAAAATTCTCCATTATTAGTTGTATAGCGGTTGACTACAGAGGACATAATACAAGTTATTTTATGGTGATCAAGGGTTCAATCCTCACCCAAAGTTTTCATAGGACTTTCACTAAAAAAAATATAAGAATTAAATAATAGATGGCGCTGTAACAATAGTAAGAGGGGATATGGTTTCGTTTTATCACATATAGGCAATTTTATCAAAATAAAAGCCAACAATCAAACATCGCTGGTTTATCGCTAATTTATTTAACACCAGAGGTCGCTGGTCTAGAGCTTAGTATTGAGTTCTACACCAATATAGTTTAGTATTCTTCTAATATATAAAATTCTCGTGTGATAGTTTTGTGACAAAATTCCTTTGAAACCGACTTTTATGAATTCTTGTGTGTTCTTAGTAGGTCTGAAAATAGGACGTAAACTATAATTCATACCCCTAAATAATTAGGGTGGTCTACCCTAAAAGATATTTTATTTTATTTTTTGGGCAAATTTTATAACGTTAACTTTATAACATTAAAAAATACAATGCTAAATTTTTACCCTTCTACCAACATCCCCAGAATTATCTTCAGTTTAATAGCAATATTAATTTATAAGTCAAAACAAGTTTGCGGATTAACTAGTAGTAAAATCCATACACTGACTGTATTATCTAGACTTATAACTAAAATTACCTTTGAACATTCTCATCCGTTGTACTTCTCAAGAAAGCTTCAATATCACCCTTATCTATATAAATCTGGTCGACATCATCTTCCTCGTCGTATGTATATAAGAGTTTGTCTCTTGTATTAGAAGCATTCTTATTACGGTACAAATAGATTTTTAAGTCATCAAGCAACCGTTGCAACTCGCTATCGAGAGATATGCAGAGGTGTTCCAAAGTTGGAGTGAACCCGTGGTCTTGTCTAGACATACCTAAAAATAATATAAATAACTAACTAAACTATTATCAATACCACAAAATAAGTTTGATTCAACAGAACTAGCATTATGAATAAACTGAACTTATAGATCCGTGGGTAAATGAAAACTCGACCATTGCATAATATACCTATATTATCATTAAAAAAATTGCTCAAATTCAAGTTGTTTGAGATTAATATTTTTTTCCCAACCGTCCAGTATACAGAAAAGCTGCCAAGAAACTAAATAGAATTTCTTTTTTTAAACCAGTTTTATGCTTATATATTTATTATAGGTGTCTATGTCTAACATTAAATAAAAATCCTGTGCATGAACTACTAATATTGTGTACATTTGACATTTAAGAAATTGTGAGTAATAGGCCATCTTCAATAAATATGATTTAACAGATCATAACAGATATTTGTAAAATTATGTAATACGATAAAACCAGTTTTAACTGGTTATTCATAAAAAAAAATATTAGGAAAATTTTAAGAATGAATGGTAATGAAAAACAGAGATAATAAATTGTTCTAACACTATCACTGTATAGAAAGAGCTAAACAAAGCGTCATTATAATCATACCTTTCATAAGTGAGTTCATGACCTTAATAACATCATCTCTTGACTCAATTATAGTTTCACCAATGAGGTCTTTCCACACGAACCAGTTGATATCAACTTCTTTCTCCACCTCATTATCTGATACCACATTAGTCAAATCAACTAATATCTGTGTTTTGAAAGAGTCATACACTTTGAGCCATCTACTCTCTATGATGGCTTTGACTCGAGACGTGAGTAGTGGCTGGAAGTAGTGGCACCATACATGGACCTCAGGAATATCGAGGGATGAGCATATTGTTGACCAATTTGAAGGTGTTTCTGAAAATTTGTAGAACTAATGTCAGATTTTTTATCGATACTAAATAATAACACCGTCATAGATAAAAACTGTTGCTTTTAATTATAAGTACTTCCAGTTCAAACATCATATTATGAAAGTGAATCAATAATTCCTTTATTGATTCACTTTAATAATATGATAATATGATTAAAAGCAACAGAGTTTTTATCTATCGCGGTGTTACCAAAAATCCTCCAAATAGATTTACTGATTTTAATGAAATTTCTGTGTGGGTGTATATATCAGGTAGGTTTAAGTGCGAGAAACATCTATTTTTCATACCTTTTGGTGACAAGGGCGACCCACCCATATATATTTTTTTTAATTTTAACAAAAATAAATATTTTTTAATAATACATACACTTAACTTCAATTTACGATCAATCCACGCTGTTTTTAATAGCAATATTAGTATTTCAATTTACCAGCCGGATAAACCTGAATATACTGTTATAAAAAATAAAATAAAGTACCTACAAATATTAAAATACTAACCAACTTTAAATGCCTCTTCTCTTATCTCATGTAATACTTTAATTCTGATAATATTCTCTAATAGTTTATGTACACTCTCATCTATAAATGACTTGACCCATACATTCCACTCCTTAATAGAAGCTGTAATATCCTCTTTAGCCAGTGCTTGTATCTCTTTGTTTGATGATAACCTGTATAATATTGTAATAAATTAATATTGTGACTATAAAATTTTCAATATTTGTATCTATTTATATTTGGACTGATTTTCGCCACCTCATTATTGGCATAGTAGATGTACTTGATATATAAACAAATGTTATATTTTTATAGTAACAAAAATAAAATAATAACTTATATTTTATGTTTGTTACCAAACTCCACCAAAACGGTTTTACCCGATTTTAATAAAACTTTTGTATGCATATCGGGTCTGAGAATTAGTTAACATCTATTTTTCATGGCCCTCAATGATATGGGTGACCTATCCCTAAATAATTACAATAGCAAATACTTTTTAGACAATTTTGTTTAACTTTTTTATGATATCTTCTTAAATGAATAGAAATATAAATGTATTCTTAATTTTTTTTTATTATAAAATAATAAGGAGTGTTCTAGTCACTAATGACTAGATGAATAGAACACTGCCAGAATCTGCATACACAATGATACCTAGACTTAAATGCTTTGTATTTTTTTAATACTATCCAAATTGATTTGACTTTATATATATGTTAAATAAATTTATTTATTGTATCATAACTGCCTTTTACATTTCTTACCTGTAATTGGAGATGACTGAAGGTAACAGTTTTAAGCCAATGGGGTCACTAAAATGTACCAACTCAATCAGAGGCTGTGAATCTTTGCTGAATAACTCTGTCAACTTCTTCAAAATTGCGCCACCCTCGTTATCTGTATATTAATAATCATAATTATTCTTATTTCCTCAAAAACATAGTACCAAAGATGACAAGTAGAGGATAATCATGACTTTTTGACACCATAATGGCTTTTTTAATTGGATGATAATGGAATTATGCACACGCCTGCGCTAACGGTTTACGCTACGGGCACCATTGGAGGATGAGATCAGTTTAGTTAACCCAACGTGACAAATTCATCAAGGGATTTCTCATGATGGTTTTCAGGATGAACCACATGGAGGACAATCTGACACCTGACTGAATATTGAATACTCACCCACAAAACAAGCATAAACCAATACAACAGTTTTTAACACAATTTTGACACCATTCACTATTTTCTCTTTGATCCGTGCTTTAATGTCTCCTTCTAAAAGGCGAGTTAGATCAAACTCCAATGTAGATTTAAGGCTACTATTGCTCTGTAAGCTTATCAATGTATTGAGTAACTCCACCATACTTTGTGAGTCGAGAAGATATAAGCTGATTAGGCAGGAACATGCTACCTGAAATTATAACAATAATAACAACGACCCTGGACAATACACATAGCACCATCTAGTTCCAAACTAACCAGAGCTTTTATGACTACTAAACAGGATATATAGATACTTAAATATATATTTTTTGGAAATACATACATAATATACATAGAAAATAGAACAGAGGTCGTCAAACTATGAACATGAATATCTATTCACTATTCCAGCAACCGTAAACAACTAAGAGATATTAATTCAACCTATTTTGATTTTAAAAACCCCACTAATATATTTGATTGTCTACAAGGTCTTGTACCGTCAAACATGAATATAATATATTGATATATAATCTAATATATAAAATTCTTGTGTCAATTTTAGTTACCAAACTTCTCTTAAACAGCCTAACCGAATTTGATGAAATTTTATATATATGTACTTAGTAGGTTTTAGAATAGGTTGTAATCAATTTTATACCCCAAGTCACAAGAATGGCCGACACCAAATTTTTATTTATATTTTCAACCAAATTTTTATTAACTTATGATTCGGTATTAAAAAATACATACAGCCCTAAATTTTCGCCCTTCTAGCACTCCCATTTTTTTAATAGCGATATTAATTTATATGGCAAAACAATGTTTGCCGATCAGTAATATCATTAATTTTGACATAATTACCTCAACAGTAATATCAACATCTTGCAATTTATGTTTACACACATTGACAATAGTTTGACTGAAATTTGATATAGAATTCCATTGTTGTTGAATCAGCCTTTGCAAGGATTGAAACTCAGGTTTTGTGTTCTTACCACCAATTTGAAGTTGTAACCCTATAAAGTCATGTAATGAAATGTAAGTGCAATAAATGTTAATGATACATGGAACCTGTTTAATTTTATTACTAAAGAATGCACACCCTCTAATGATAAGAAATTTAATACATATTATGAAGAACTTATTCAAGAGGCAAATCCGAAGCACAGCTTGGAATTTTCACTGTTATTCACAATATTCCCATATATTGTATGGTATTGTATGTTGGACTCCAGTCACCACAAATAGCCTCTCTATTCCCATATATTCCCTTCATTACATAGTATAAAACAAAGTCGCTGTTGCTGTCTGTCCGTCCCTATCTATGCTTAAATCTTTAAAACTATGCAACAGATCTTTGTGCATTTTTTTTAAATAATAGAGTTTAAATAGATAGAGTGATTCCATAGGAAGGTTTATATATATAATACATGTACATACTCGCTCCGGATTCGCATGACCATAGCCAGGGTGAGTAGCTAGTTATTTCATAATATGCAGTTATCTCTAATCAGTTCATGAAAGTATTAGAATAGTTAAAAAAACATTCTGATGAGTTTTCCAAGTATAACACTAGTAATTACCAGTATTAATATGTCTTGCCATGATGAACAGCTGTGTAGCTTTTACAAAATCCTCAGTATCTATGCATGTCCATATCTTCTCAGGTATTTCCATCAATAATTTAACTTGAATTGATATACTGTGAGCTGGGTTTGCATTCAATTGAGAACTGAAATTGAAGAAAATTTTGAAAATATGAAACTAAAAATTTAAGTATATATCTACGATTTTTTAAAACAATTTCCACATAAAATAATTTCATGTACGAAAATAATATACACAAAAAATGTATTTAACTCTTTCTATCAGTTCTCTAGTAACATAGTCCCTTTACACAAGCTTTGCTCTACTTAGCTTGGAAGTAGATGGCGCTGTATGAATTTCCTGTGTTATTATATTATTATTTTTATTATTATATATGTTCATTATGCACTTACTACATTGATGGTTCAGACTTTTTGTCAATTTTGAAGCCAACTAAATGTGTATTATGAAGGTTCCTACATGAAGATATCATTTCACTGATGTGATTCAGTGTACTTGCAGTGGTTACTTTCATTTCTTCTATGGTGTCAGCTGCATGGATCAGGTCCCTATACCGTTCTCTGGAAAAATATCATATCATGTTATATGCATCATACATATTCTAAAAAAAAATTGAATGTCTTTAATTATTTACTACTATCTACTCGCCCCAGCTTCACCCAGGTGTACATGTATTATATAAATAAACATTCCTCTAGAATCACTCTATTAATTATTAATTAATATTAAAAAAATGCATCAAAATCTGTCACATAGTTTTAAAGATTTAAGTATACATAGGGATAGATTTAAGTATACATAGGTGGATCGACAATCTGGTCAAGATCGCGGGAAGGCATTGGATGCAAGCAGCGCAGGACCGATCGTCGTGGAGATCTTTGGGGGAGGCCTATGTCCAGCAGTGGACGTCTTCCGGGCTGTGATGATGATGATGATGATGAGGGAAAAACAGTCACAGCGTCGTTATTTTATACTATGTAATAATGATTTACTATAATATATTATATAATATATAGAGTAATAAAAATATGCTTTCATGAATGTTATTCCCCTACTAAATATACTAAATATATAAATATATACTAAATATACCCCTATCCTCTACCCTCTACATGTTGGGTGCCGTCCTTATCACTCAACACTACAATAAACATATCTAATATGCATAGATATTCTCATCACTTGTATTCCTGTGATTTGCTATCACAAATATACTAATTGATTCATTTACATTACTTGTTATTCGTACTCACCCGACCATAGCCCGTAGATCTTCTCTTTTTCTTTCAATCTCATATTGTAGTTTTTTCTGTACCTGATCTATATCAGCGATAAAGTTGTTTTGAAATAATTCCTCTGGGACTATTTCTAGTAGGTTAGGTTGAGACATTTTCAAATATATTTATTGTTGATTTGCATTTATTCACAGAGAAAGGAGCAGCAAATCATTACTAGAAACTTTTTAAATCAGAAGTAGGATGTGGTTAATAATTTAATTAATAAAAATATATTTATTTCAGTTGTAATATAAATAAACAATACAGCGAAGCAATGACAACACAAACTGTCATGTTGGAACTTGTAATCTGGAAAGATGCTCTGTCATTATTTAATCAATCATACTGTCTAATACTGTTATTGTATACGGCAACCATTTTGACATTAAATTAACTTAGAAGTAAATTAAATTAAGATATAAAAACATAAACAGCTCATAGAGTTATTTAATCGTTCATTGAAAATAGTCTTGAATAATTTGCACCGCGCTGGTTGTGAGCGTAAACTACAATCTAAATACTTTAGTTATGCAAAAAACCCAGCTAGAGTTCCAAAAATTAAAAATATAGCAATTGGTTTTCCGTGAGCAAATAAAATTGAGTAGGTCTCGTCTATGTACATAGTGCACATAATAGACCATAACTATTTTTTGTATTCCACATAACTATAATTGACATAGATTAAACGTTTCTATATGCCCAATATTTTTCATATTATGCAAAATTCATCATCCCGAACCCCGAAACTCCACCTTTACAAGCGGGTGCGGATGACAAGGCTCAGTTCAATTGTCATAGTATTCACGTAATTTAGTCAGTATCAGTACGAGAAGTCAAACAGATTGACATTTACTCAATGAAATTTTTTTCGTAATGTAAATTTCACCCTGTTTTTTCTCTCGGTCGGTATTTCGTCATTATTAACTTCGCAAAATTGTATATATATTTATTTGCAGCATAAATTCTATTTATAATACCTTTTATTTTCCAGTATTGATGAATACTGCTTGAAATTTGGCATATAGTAGGATTAATGATCCTACGCAAAATGTGTTAGGTTATGTTATGCCCACGGTATTTTTTGGGTGAAAAGTAAGTTTTATTTTATACTATTTTGATTATATTATCACTTTTTCTTAAAGTGTGTTTTTATATATCTTACAATAATATTATAGTGTACTTATTTAAATGTGCCGGCGTTTACATAATTATATTAATTTTAAACAACTGCCTTATTTAAGCAGTTTTGTTGACCTTACTGTGTAATAGTGCATTGCAGTATTGTGATTGAATATATTGTCATCCCTATATTCTATAGTACCTCTACAATATATCAAAACTACTATTATCACTGCTGCATAGTAATAGGTACTTCATAATTATTATAAATATAGAAGTAATAAATATATGTGTAAGATTTTTTCTATACAAGTTAACAAATAGTCATGTATTTTAGGATGTAAACCTTCTATATCACATTAAGACGGAAAATTAAGCAAAGAAATGAATATTAATAATAAATAAGCAAACTTTTATCAATTGTAATTATTTTTAACTGGATTATAGTAAATTGTCCCAAATAACAGACCTAAGTACATGTCTTAGCTATTACTATTTTATAAAAAGGATTGAATACAAATAGTTACTTTATAGGTAAAACAAATATCCTTAGTAGAATTGGTAAAACAAATATCCTTAGTGAAAGTATCTATACTAATATTAGTCTAAAACTTAATAATTTTTTCCAATTAAAAAAACATCCATAGGTAGATAGTTATGTTATCAGTGAGTAATTTAGGTTACATTCTATGCAAACAACACCTTTGTATACAGTTAGTCTTAACACAGTATAAAATAAAGTCGCTGCTGCTCTCTGTTAGCTTAGATCATTGAAAATGTGCAATAGATTTGAATGCAGTTTTTACCAATGTATAGAGTGAATCAGTAGGAAGGTTTATATGTATAATACGTGTACAAATGTGCGAAGCCAGGTTGGCTAGTAGTTAGTTAATAACAATACATACATATATACTTAATATTAAATTGAGAAAGGGAGTGGAGTTGGTTGTAATATGCAAGATTATTATTAATTATATATTTACCTATATTGGCATTTTAAACAATTTGGTTTGAAGGTAATTACCATCTATCATGGACCCCAACATCTATGCATTGGTTTTGGATACACTAAACCGTGCAACCAGTCAAGACACTGAAGTCTTAAAACCAGCTGAGAAGAAGCTTCAAGAATGGGAGATAGAACCGGGATTTTATTCTGTACTATTGGTAATTCAAATTCAAAGCCTTTATTAATTGACACAAAATTATACAAGCTATCGTAATATTTGATTAAAAGTTTAAAATATAAAAGAAATATTAGTTATATATACATTTTATGTTACTTCTAATTCTGCACATCAGTCTCTGAGTCAACATGTCCTTTAGATACAAAGGCCTCCTCCAGTGTTTTCCATGTGTTCCTATCTTTTGCCAATCGGAGCCACAGTGGGCTGGCAATCTTTCTAAGGTCTAACTACTATTGGTAATATACTTTTACAAATACAATAAGTGTAGATAGATAGATAGATAGATAATAGTTTTTATTTGTATCTTAGTACACACATACAGGCTTAATTACAACATCAAATGACAAGTACCTACAATATAACAGTTCAATAAAGGGTAAACCTGCATGTGTGTGCTACAGCAATACAAAATTGGTACATAGCTCAGTGTGGAGAATCACTCAAAGAGCAAAACACTGATTTTCAGCTATGTCCTCGAGGTTGAATAATGTACCTTGTATATTTTTTTAATAAACTAAAATGAACTAAACGAAATAAAGTGAAATAAATAAGTAATAAAAGAACTTGGAAAGTACGAATTACAGTTAGAGTACCAGAACTTTATCAATACCGAGATACCACAATTTAATTTGATATATATGAATACTATGAACAGGAATATAATACATTTATTATAAATTTTTTATATAATACATTTAGTAAAAAAAATAATAATTATAGCCATGAAGGAGTGAAAAATGTCTTAATGGTATTGTATGCACATTGTTATTCATATTGATTATTAATTTTACTATTAGTGATGTGGATTAATCGCCCCATTACCAGCAATGTACCATCTCAGGTTGGCCTCCATGCTGTTCCTTCTAGAAACCATCATATTAAAGTCCTAGTGAATATGCCATAATGGTCTAACTGACCTGTCCTAAAGCATATCTTATTATCCTCCACTGGTGCCCCACCAGCATATACCATTATCACAAGCGGGGGGACTATTCCATCATCATCCATTATAAAAAAAACATTGTAATGTCAAGTGCAGTTGTCTTGCTTTTGTTTAACTGTTAGTTTCAGCTGATATCACACCATGAATATGCGTGCCAGTTGTAACTCAGTTTCTATTGACAAGAACATTAAAAGATGTGTTTTTTTTAATGTTTTGTATTATAATTTCATTGGAGTGCCTGTAGTGTCTATGATTTTTTTATTAGAACAATTTTACTATTAGAGTTCTTTTGGGGAACAATTGTTTTACAGACTCTAAGAATTAACCAAAATTATATAAAAATATTACATTATATTGTATTTTTTTGTACTTTAACTTTTATGTTTGTAATGTTTTATTTTTACAATTTTATCTGTTTTCATATTTCAGTATTGTGGGAAATATTTAGGCATGTACAGACAATATTTTATAAGTTTCTTTGTTTCATATTATTTTAACATAAGAGCATATTGGGAAACTATATAAAATTAACCAGCATTAAGCTGACTAGTTTCATTTAAATATCTAATTATTATTTTAAATTGTGTATTTTTAACCTTAAGAATTGTCTTTTAGAATGTACTCTCCAATCATACCATTGATATCAATGTCCGATGGCTGGCTGTGATGTGCTTCAAAAATGGGGTTGACAGATACTGGAGGCGGAATGCCCCCAATGCCATCACAGATGATGAAAAACAGAAGTTGAGGCATGGGTTACTTACGCAAAGTATATTTAGTGAACCAGTTGCACAGATTGCCACACAACAGGCTGTTCTAATTTCGAAAATAGCTAGGTATGTTGTTTTTTTAACTTATTACTTTCTACCACTGAGACTAAACTAAGGTCAACATCAGAAACAGATGGTAAAACAATTTTTCAAATTGGTCCAGTGGTTTCTGAGCGTATTCAATGCAAACAAACAAACAATCAAAATCTTCATCATTATAATATCCTTATAGATGAAGGTATTAAAACAATGTCTTATAAGTTAATAATTTCTAGGCGTGAGTTTCAAAATATGTGCCGTGACACTAGAGAGGTCACATAATTGTAACCAACTGTCACAATGCCCTAAGTCTCTTAAAAAACCAATTATTCATCATTATTAGAAATCTTTAACAAGAGTTAATTTTCAGATTCGACTGTCCTACAAATTGGCCGAGTCTGGTTCCAGAATTAGTAGGTGCTCTGAAGGCGCCCCAGCCTTTAGTTCAGCATAGATCATTACTAATATTTCATCATGTTGTCAAGGCATTGGCTTCTAAAAGACTTATTGGGGATCGGCGGACTTTTCAGGTAAAATTACTTAATCACATTAGGATTCTTTTAGGTACCTCTCTTACTTACATCTCTTTGTTTATGTCAGGCTAATTTGAGAGAATATAGCATGTCCATCATTAATTTTATAGCAACCCTGTATTTAAAAAATCATATGTATTTAAAAAATAGTTACAATATTATGTTTAATATTTCAGGAATTAACAAATTCAGTATACTCTTTCATTCTCAACCTTTGGCACGAGAATACGGAGTTATTCCTCCGACACATCCAAGAGGGCGCCGCTACCGAATTGATTACTGAACATTTGGAGAAAGCTCTTCTTTGCCTGAGGATACTGAGGAAGTTGACAGTCTTTGGTTTCAAGAAGGCACACGAAAGTCAAGATGCCAGTGCCTTTTTGAATGTAGTATTTGACAGAGCTAAAACAAGCTTGGAATGCAGTAAGTTCATTTCTATTTTTTAAACTAGTAACAACAAACAAACAAATTGCACAACCACTTGAACAGCATAATCTTTGCCTTGCCGTGTTTTTGCCCTGTTAATTCACAGAGCCTTCCAGTCATAGACTGATTTATAAAATACTTATTTACATGTACAAGTAGGCAAATATAAAACTGATATATTCAAGAATGACAAAGTTTGTATTGTGCGGATATCGAATCAGTATATAGGTGTCGGCTTATCGGTATCGATATAGCAGTATCGGTGTATCGGTATTAGTAATATGGGGTTTAAGTTGCTACAGCAGCAAGGTTACCACTAGATTGCAGCCACCCAGCGAAATATGGGTATTTGAAGTGATGCCTTTATCATGACGCTGAGTGTACCTCTAAAGGAATGTACCATCTCAGATTGATCTCCACATGGTTCCCCCTGGAAACCAAGATTATAAATTCATGGTGAATTTGTCTCGATGGGCTATCTGACCTGACCTCATGTGCATCTCATCATCCTCCACTGGCGCCAACGGGTGCAATATTCCTCTGCAATATACCTCTAACTATTTAATAACAGAATTTAAGGTATATATTTTTTGTATTTTACAGGGAAACTTCTTAAAGGTCGTGGTATTTACCCCCTGGAATTATGTGAGAAGTTCATAATACATCTGACCAAAGTGGCGCTGGGTGTGTTGTGCTTCCATCCATTCTCGTATGTGCCACTTATCCGACCTTCTCTGGAGTTTGCATTGTATTACTGTTTCACAGAACAAGGCATGTCTCTCATATACGAGAGGTTCACTATACAATGTTTGAATATTGTGAAGGGGATATTACAGTGTGTAGAATATAAGCTGCCAAAGGGAATAGATCAGGTTAAAGAGCCATGTAAGTATAAAATAATATGAATTATCATTTACCATGAATAATTTGGGAAAGGTATATTTTTTTTATGCATTCTTTTCATCTTATATATTATGTAATCAATCGAAATATAATAAAACTAGTATCTATGAACATTTTCCATAAATATGGTTGAATTTCTATGACGTAGTACTGAATTGCGGCTATCACTATATAAATGGTTGATCGATTTATTGATAGACTGAACCTACTTTATACAGTTGGTTTGACAGACTTTGAATTTTCTCCAGTGACGCTACAAGCCCACCAAGTTAAAACCGAGGTGTTGGACACAAATACAGTTTGCCATATGTGTCGGCACTTAGTCACGCATTACTTCCTACTCAGCTCTGACGATCTGTCATTGTGGGACGCGGAACCTGAGAGTTTTGCCACTGATGAAGCTGGCGAGTCTTGGAAGTATAGTTTGAGGGTAAGTGTACATTTTATCATTGCTGATAGCTGGCTCATTCGTCATCCTCGTGAACAGTTGCTGGTTGGTGATTGATGTCTTCAAGTTATGTCTGCTGATTGAATTATCTCTATTTTATAAACAAATCATCATCTGCCTTCATCCCATTTATTTAGGGTCGGCGTAATATGTTTTCTCTACTATTCATCCCTGTTCGCAGTCATTTCATTATTCCCTTTCTTTACTTTACTCCCTTTCTTACCATATCATCTTTCACACGGTCCATCTATTTCATTTTTGGCCTTCCTCTGCCCTTATAACCATCCACATTCATATATAACACCTTCCTTAAAATATTATCTTCATTCCTGCGCATTACATGCCCATTTTATAAAACAGACAATGTAATTAAATGGAATATGCAGATATCTTATTAAAAGAGCCTGGTCAAAGTTTTGTCGATTAAGGTCGAGCAGAAGACTTTTGACTTCGGCTCGAATTATTATCCGAACTGACAGCAGATTCGACTTATCATATGTGTGTGTAAAAAATAAGGTCTGCATGAATTAAAATAATTTAATTGACTTATTGTTAAATTATCTCAAAATTCTATTAATTCCAAATAACTGCATCTTATGGATTATCATTATAACCTGTTAATTTTATTGTAACGCAATGCTTGCCGTTCCTTTCGGTATGCCGCCGGGTGGTTTAGACCTATTCTGCACTACCCACGCTTTACCTCTCTTCAAATGACATTAAACAAAATTTTAATAGTTTCTTTATAATTTCAGCCATGCACAGAGACTTTGTTCATGGAATTGTTTCAATTCCGCAACGTGTTGGCACCAGAGCTGGTGCGACTGCTCGCATCGTTGCAGCAGCGGCAAATATCACCTGACGATCTGCCCGCTATCTTGAAGAAAGATGCGATATATAATGCAGTGAGATTGGCTGCTTTCGACTTGTATGACGATGTGAGTAAACTCATAATTCATTCATTTAGAGTGTCATAGCCTAGTGGTTTTTCTAACCTGATTTACACCCAAGGTCGTAATTTTAAATATTTTGACACTAAAAAGAATTTGTGTGTCAAATTATATTTTTGAGTGACTTTCCGGTGAAGGAAACACCAATATCTGATCAAAAACTAAGTAGGCTCAGCCACTGCTACGTGGCCGTTACATATGCATGCCTATATATATTGCATTAATAATACAGTAGATTGATGCATATTTTACATTACAAAAGCTGATTACATGCATGGAATAAACAAAAACTATACAAAATAAGCAAAATATAATCCTAAACTAACCAAACATATAAAAATTATATAATTATTAACCATCACCTTTATGAGTCCACCAAAAAGAAAATGTCTGTTTAAGCTTTCCACTGCTAAGTGCTAAAAAGTAAATTTATCAAAAATAAATCTATATGTCAATAAATATTAAAAACCCTGGACTGCCTAATATTTATAATTTTTATGTTTTTATTTATTATTTGTTTTTCAGGTTGATTTTGACGAATGGTTTACAAATGTATTAAGTCAAGAGTTAAAAATCAAAGATAATAATTATAGAATTATAAGAAGAAGAGTATGTCAATTGATTGGTAAGTATTTAATATGAAATTAGTACTGTAATATTAAAAATAACTGGTCAATTAACACAGCGCCATCTAGTCCCACGGTAGGCAGTGTCTATATTATGGGTACAAGACAAAGTACAAGACAACTGATATAAACACTTAGATTTGTTTTTGTAAATATATACATCATATACATAGAAAACACCCAGATCGATACCAACAATCATACTCACGAATACAAATGTTTGCACCATGCGAGGAATCGAAGCCGCACAAATGTTTGCACTGTGCGAAGAATCGAACCCTCGACCATCGTAAGCAAAGCGGTGTGCTAAACCGTATATACGTTCTTAATGTTAATATTGATTAATTAATTTAATTTTCTTCATTACAGGCCAATGGTGTGGAGTTCGCGCATCGCAGTCGCTAAGGCCAGCAATGTACGAAGCTTTGCTAGAACCACTCTCCAGAGCGGATGAAGATGCCGCAGTGAAGCTTGCAGCCGCTGAAGCGCTGAGAAGCACTATTGACGATTTTAACTTCGACGTGGAACAGTTCGCACCGTATGCGCCCCACGCAATTGCAGCGCTTTATGAATTATTGGTAAATTACTTGAATATTATTCCTCATTACATTCGGAATGTTAAAATAAAATTACTGTTTTATGCAATGAGTTTGCTAAAGTTTTTCGGCGTTATATACTTTTCCAATCTATAAAGTTACTATATTTTATTTATTGTATTGTTATTCTATAAATCTTTTTTTTTTTTCTTAATATTTTCTCATAATTTATTCATCTTCATGAAATATTTAGTCATGGTAATCAAGTTAACAAACAGGCGGACTTTAAGAAAATAATAAAGCATGAAGGGCTATTTGAAAGAAATGATATTATGTACTTAAAGAAAGGCAAATATATAGAACTTCTATCGATGGTAAAGGTGGCACTTGGATTAAAATAATATTAATAATAACCTAGGACATTTCACATAGCGCCAACTAATCTCTAGCTAAGCAGAGCTGGTGTTGTGGGAACTAAACAACTCATAGAAATACTTAAATACTTTTTTTGTAAACACAGAATAAACCAGGTTCGATTATTCGTATGTTTGTATCATACGAATAATCGTTTATTTGACTACCTCGGTGGTCTAGCGGCTTAGCACACCGATTCGTTTCCGTTTGTCGCGTGTTTGATTATTATATAATACGTATTTACAAAAAAAATTATCTATATATTTATAACAGCTCTATAATCAGTGCCCATAACACAAGCTCAGCTTACCTTGAGACTAGATGGCTCTGTGTGAATTGTTCTGAGATATTATTATTATTGTTCTTTAGTTGGACATTCTTGGCAGAGCGGTCGTGGCTTTCATGATGGTATCGGATTCTCCTCCTTGGCGACAGAGTTTTAACTTAGACAAAAATATAATAATTGTTATATTTTCGTAATGTTTTAGGTGGAATCTGAAGAGTGTGATACGAAGATGCATGTGTTACACGTAGTGTCGTACGTGATGGAGCGTTGCGGCGCGAGTGTAGCACGTGGCGGAGGTACCGGCGCTTTGTTCTCATATTTACCACAACTGTGGAATCACGCCGCCTCACATAATATGCTGAGGGCGGCTGCGTTGTCTGCTGTTGTTCATCTGCTTAAGGTTAGTGATATGTTTATGATGCGTATGAAAACCTCTTTTTATATTAAGAATGTATTGTGTTTATTTCCAAAGAAAAGATATTAATTTGTTTTGATATTCTCTGAGAATAGAAGCTCTTCTATTCTCAGAGAATATCAAAATAAGGAGATGGATGTTTTAATTAGTACATGTTAGTTTATTCTTTTATTATGTGGAATGGCTAAAGCATTATTTATACAGTTTACAATTATTTAGATGAATATGCCAATTAGATACAATGTAAAATAAGTTGTATTGACAAATTTTCATGTTTACTATACAATATTTATACTGTTAACTAATATCACGTCGTAACACGAATAATTTTATGGTAAATTTAATTTTTATTTCAGTTAACAATATAAATAATGTAAGCTATATTGTGTTGACAATAGACAATTTACGTATAAGTTCAAAAATATTTAGAATGTCTACAGCGTTGTCATAAGTACAATTTATATAATCACAAAGCAAACGTTGTTTTGCTATATAAATTAAAATCGTTATTAATAAATATATGTTAGTGATAGATTTGTAAAATTTAGGGTTATATGTATTTCTTAATGCCACATTACAAAAAAAAAATTGTCCAAAAAAGAAAAATAGTGTTAGGGATGGACAACCCTTATCGCTTAGGAGTATGAAAAATAGATAACCAATTCTCAGACTGACTGAATATCCATATAAAATTTCATAAAAATTCGAGAGAAGATATAGTCCTGATTTAACTATAAACATTCCATCGAAGTCTTTTATATACTTTATATTATGTGATGTTAGGAAGATTTTTCTAGAAACTTTTACGACAACAAATGCGTCAATCCACCGCCGTAATGACAGCTAAAGTATTTTTTTATTTTACAGGCTCTAGGCGAATGCACACCCAACATTCGGCCATGGATACTGAGTGTAGTGAACGAATCGACTAGGCTTTCTGAACCGGCTCATGTTTATCTTTTGGAAGATGCGTTAGAGCTCTGGCTAGCTATACTAGAGACCTCGCATACTGCGGACCCGGCGACGTTGCAGCTTGCTGAAAATTTGTATCCAATATTAGGTAAGATCTAACCTGATATGTTTGATGAACACCGTTTTAAACTTGTTTCCTTTTTGTTGTACACACATTGTATAAACTAGACATTTAGAGCCATCATTAAATTATTTGGATATATACATCATAAATAATCTAGGAGACCTCCCACTCTTTTAGAAAGGAGAAAGGGGAAATATGCAGTATAAATCACATTTAAAATATAAAATATCATGTTTTATTTAATTCTACTGGTATTGAATAAAACACGAAATTCTATATTTTAAATGTGACCAACTCTGACTGCAGTGTAAAACTTACTTAAATAGGTGTGACCTAATTTATTGCCAAATTATCACAATAATATTGCCGGCCTTGATTGTCTAGGGGTTTAGCACATTTAGCAATGCCTTACTTCCGATGGTCGCGGGTTCGATACCTCGTATGGTGCATACAGTCGTATTTATGAGTATGATTGTTGTTATCTGTCTGAGGGTTTGGTTTACTATCTATGAATTTACAAAAAAAATGTTTTTGTATAATAGCAACAGTAGTTTAGTAACAATAAAACAAACATAGCTAGAGACTAGATGGCGTTGTGTGAAATATCTAGGATTATTATTATTAATATCAGCATGATGTATATGACTTTTACAGAGCAATCAACAGAACACCTCCGAATTGTAGTCTACATAATGCAAGCATACACATTGCTATGTCCTGAGGAGTTTCTGTCGGGTGCCGGTGGGAAATGTATGGCTCTTTTAGAAGATATGCTGAGTGATATGAGGACTGAAGGAGTGATTACCGTGTTAAAGATGGCGGAGATCTGTGTCAGTGTATCGTTCCCGGAGAGGAATACATTTTTGGGTGTTAAAGTTATATGGCCTATACTCATTAGGGTTATTCAGTGAGTATTACTTATATTTAGAATTTCTTCGTTGCTTTGCAGTAGATTGCAAAATCTTGACGGCCTTGGTGATCTAGAGGTTTTGCACACCGCTTTTAAATAAACACAAAATTTCTGAGGAACCTATAAAAATCGATAATTCATATTAGTTTCCGATAGTACCTTAACACTATTTAGCATCGCACAAATCTGGTAACATATGTAGATAATGTTAAATTTATTTTCGAGATAAAAAAAAACATACTACCTATAGCTTTTAACTTCGTATGTATTTTATTGTGGTTAACGGTTTAGTACACCGCTTTACTTCCGATGGTCGCGGGTTTGATTCTTAGCATGATGCAAACTTTTGTTTCATGAGTTTGATTGCATTGATCTGGGTCTTTTACTGAGGTGAAAATAACTTTCACCTTCACCTTGTTTTCATATATAGATTTTTTCATAATATCATGTATATATTTTTTAAGCGTCTCAAAACCGGCTTCTAAATTTTCTACCTCTGAATTTTTACATTTATATATTTCTCAAAAAATAATTCTATTATTTTTTTCTTCTAGTTGTCTTCTAGAAGGAGACGATCTTCCAATGGTTCTCTCCGTACAACTGTGCCTGGTCTCCCGTGTGATCTTACTGTCATCAGATCTGTTCTACAAAGCAATACAAGAGGCCTCAAATGGGCTGGTCGAGTATGATTCAGATCCTGTAAAGGTTTTGACAAGGTTCCTTCACGTTTGGACAGAGAAGATGAATCTGGTCACACAGGTGGAGAGGTGGAAGGTAGTTGGTAAGTGAATGACGTTTGTACTTGAAAGATTTGTTTTTTTGTGAAGGATATTGTATCAAGTCTGAAATTATAATGGTATTCTTTAAAAGAAAGTGTTAATGTCAGTATACTAAGCTGAATTTAATAACATGGATATAATTTTATTGTTAAAGAAAATTGCATTTTGAGATGTATATTTATCTTTTTATTACTGTTTACTTTAGTCGTAAACCCATAATTTTCTCATGATTGTAAATTATAATATAATAAGACACTTAGTAATTATAAGCAATATTACTGTTATAAGGTAATGATTTTTATTAAACTATGCTAATTGGACTGTACTGATCCTAGACTTGTTCCCAGCTCATGTGGGCAAAGCTGTTGAAAATTAAGGTCAAATTATTTACACTCTAAACCTTCATTACAGGGTTGGGATTGGCAGCACTGCTAACAACACAAAACGCAACAGTGTTGGAGCGGTTCCCGGCTATACTGCTGAATCTGACTGAGGTGTTGAATGACGTTATGAAGACAGAAGATAATGGCACTTATGTGGAGTGAGTATTATCAATTACATTAAATAACAATAAGTTAGTTATTTCTTTAGTTGTAATAGGGTTATTGTATGTATTTGATAGGACTTGTATATGTTGTATAGGATTGATATTTGTATGTGGTGTAAAGGATTGATTGTTGGGACCTAAAGGGCCCTAAACAATTACTGCAGGATTTAACCTCTAAAATGTATGTCGCAAATGGTGTTTTGTGAGATGTATTTATGTGATATAGAAAATATATCTTAAGAGTGATGTGGTCCAATGTTTCTCAACCGTTTCTGTGCCATGCCCCTCATTAGCCTTTCTAAAATTCTTATGCACCCCCTCCCTCTCTATGCATGAAACATACAATATATTAAAAAAAATTGAATAGTTCACTTGAGAAACTTAAATGACATGTTTTAGGAAGAAATCACTAGGAAATTGTTGATGAAATATAGTAAGTTTGTACATTTTCAAAACATAATGAAACACTGAAATTAAAAAGTTGAAATAATTTTAATAAAGATTTTTCTATACTAATTTAATATTTCAATTTAGTGATAAAATAACATTATTAAGGAATTTTAATAATTTTTTTTAATTAATCGAGTATTGCATTTAAATGGCACGAAGCGAAAGGGTTCAACTCGTGTGGAGATCATTTTTGAAATTTCAAATTTCGGCCAATGTTCATGGGGCCCATGTTGCGAAACACTGGTCTTGTTCTACATTGAGTTTGAATTTTTAATAAAATAAATACGTTTTGTGTTAGTGGTCTGGTGGCGCCACCCGGGTCTCGTCCTGCATCTCCGCTGGAGGGTCGCGGGGGTGCGGCGCGGTGGGGGGACGCCGCCGCCGCCGGGGACACTCCCCACGAACTGCGTAGGCGTCGCTTGGCGGCCTCGCACCCGGCGCACTGCATCGATCTACGTGCTGTTACCATGCATCAGGTATTTACTCCTATCACCTGCTCCTCGCATTACATTGGAGTATTCTTCGTCTTCATATTCCAGAAATCTAGTAATTTGCTATCGCTTTAATTCGACCAGTATGCTGGTTTGCCTTGCCGGTGTTTACTATTTGGCTTTGACATCTACTGTCGCATCGTTACGCTAAATAATCATCCTGGTAAGTGGTCATCTATACGCATTGACCACTTACCAGGTATGCACTTATGATCGCAACTAGCCCAAGAATTGCGTAACCCTATTACCTGTCGTCTTCAGTCAGATCAAAATTGGGCCAAGTTATTATTTATCTTATTAATTTATATTTGCTTTAAACATATACTGGTTGTAAGTGGTAAGAATTAAAGCTATAACTTGTATTACAGTTGGAAACATTGAAGAACCAAGTGGGAGTCGAGACATTCAACCGCTTAATACAAGCCACCGATCAAGAGACCCTACAACAAATCAGAGAGTACATACCGCTCTGAATTTTATTGTATGTTCAGTACATTTATACATGAATTTGCTTACAATGAAATTTACCATTTCAACCTTAATTCTGCGCCAGTTTTATTATTGAACCAAATTATATAATGCCATTGTCGTCAGTTTTTAACATGTAGAAAATATTCCAAAGATTTACCATATCTCATCAACCCGCCGCATTGTGTCCAAGATTTTTACTAACTAAAAACCACACGATATATCTCAGAACATTGCCATTGTGAGCTGCGGAGTGGCGTTGCAAGCCCTATAGATGACGTAGGGCAGGCCTCTTCTCGGTTACAGCGACAGATCGTCCTACTAATTTAGGGAAACGCTCATACCTTTAGGGTCGTTTAATTGGGCAAGCAAGCCTCATCACCTCCACCCCCATGAACGGCCTAACACAACTTTAAGATACGCTATTAAATTTTTATTTAATTTTAAGTTTGAATTGACAATTTAGTAACTATATCTATAATTTCTGTCACCTTTATTCATAATGTCAAATGCCTTTAATATGAAATTGTACGGAGGCGTGACATCGTATGGAATGGCAACACAGGCTAAATCTGATGACGTAATGTAATTTTTGCTGTTCTTGTGAGGGGTCGTTAGCTTGTTTGACATTCCAATGACATTAAAAAGTGTCAAAAGTGAACATAAAGAATTATGTTCTTTTCTTTTATAATTATTTTCTTAATTTGAGAAAATGAAAAAAAAAACGGATATGAAGAATTTAATTTTTATGAACGAGGGTAAAGTTGTATTTGTGATTGTTACCAATTGGCGGAACTTGCGGAATGTAAATAAAAATCACTGGAATGTATATTACATTGTAGTATAGTAACTAATATAAATTATGTTTGTTTGTGCTTACTTTTAAATCAGGCATAGGATTTTAATCCAGTTTACTACTTAGATGTATCACATGCATACAGGTATATGATCCCTATCACATATAGTGTATATACACTTATGCGAAGTAAGGTCGAGTCTTTAATATAACAAGAAAAACAAAGGAATGTGCACGCATGCTGTCATCATCGTCTCGTGCTTCTTCACCCCCTAGGGCATCAGAGGGAAAGGGGAGGGGGGGGGGACTCATCTCTTCAATTTCGATCCCGGGAGGACTACCCCCGAGACGCTTGCAATATCTCACTTACAGACTGATGTTCTGGAAGATTCGTAAAAAATAACTTACGTCTACAATTTGTCAGTCCAACTTCATAGGACTTTAAGATTTTACAATTATGTACTTTGAAGACCAAATTATTTTTGACTAGGTTACAAAACGCACTTGTTTAATGGCAAATTTAGTTTCCGATAAAAAATAAATACTGTTTGGCTTGATATAATAAAATACATATATTTAATTAAATAATATTAATTATAACTATAGACATTGCTATTTAATAAAACAATATCTATGATATTATTACTTAGAAATTATTATAATGTGAAGGAAACTTATATTACGGTGTGTATACTTTGTACAGTGGTTGTGAAGAGTTAAAACTGTAATAAATTTAGTATAATAGTTTACATAATAATATAAGGCGAGAATACTATGATTTCTTTACTTGTACACACATTTTTTCATCACATTCAGTCTATTAAGTATATTCATATTGTAGTTTATAGCAACATAAACTCATCGTTATAATCATCATCATGTAAATACGGTACATACACCAAAATAACATTTTTTACAATTTTTGTCTGTCTGTCTGTTTGTTCCGGCTAATCTCTGAAATTGCTGCACCAGACAAAGTCGCTGGTGTAGCTAGTAAGATGTCCTCCTAATGATCTTCCCGTCCTTATCTTATTTATAACTAGCTGCACCCGCGACTTTGTCTGCGTGGAATTTAACTTTATCTTCTAAAATAAAAGATTTTTTCTAAAATAAAAGTAGCCTAAGTTACTCCTTATTACATCTGCTTGCTGCCAAAAAAATCCCGTCAAAATCAGCCCAGCAATTTAGAGATTAGCCGGAACAAACAGACAGACAGACAAAAATTGTAAAAAATGTTGATTTGGTGTATGTACCGTATTTCATATGCATGTAGTAAAAAACGGTTATTTCAATATTACAAACAGGCACTCCAATTTTATTTATATGTGTAGATGTATAGATTTGGGAGTTGGCTTATAATTAAAGTTTACATGACGTCAAGCCATTGTAACTCTCTTGTATGCTGTGCTGTGTAACATTGCAATATGGAAATACTTAAAATGTTATTAATTTTATAAAATCTATATATAACTGTCTAAATCATATTACAGTTTGACTCATAAAGGCGTGATTCTATTAATATTATTGTATACGAAAAACAATTTTATTTTTATTAATAGATGATAGAAATGACAATCTCTACAGATGTATTATAAAAATCCCGGGGTTTTTTCACCTTTAAAATTAAACAAATAGCTTGAAGAAAGAGAACTTAACAGTTCATTAGCTGAAGTAGATTTTTATAGCGTTTTTATGAGTAAGGGAATGAATCGTATCATAGTATTACAAGTCTACCCTTGTTTGGATTGGATTTGGATTTTGTTCGACGCAAAGTTGCTGTTTATGCGGTAAATATTAAAGCCACTATATAGACAGGGGTTCCATAAATTATGTCCCATGAATTTCATGATGTACAGTCATTACGTTTGCGAGACTCTTCCTCCTTATTGTGACTGTTATGTGTTCCACATATTTACTACTTTTATACCGTTTATAATTAGTAAACCGAATGTTACCTAAAACAAGGTTAACTTTAACTAAAACAATTTAACCTAACAGAAGCGAAGTGAAGTTAGAAATATATATTTTTTAGTTATTGTAAACCTATAATTTTGTTCATTAATGGATCAAATTTCCTGTTTTGATATTTTTATCGTAAGTATCGTTGTAACCTGACATCATGAAGTTTAAGTTCTTACACTCTTACCCAAATATCACTTTTGACGTCCCCCACAACCTTCACCAACTTGTGATGTAATTTATGAATGAACCCGTATTATAAATGTGTTTTTTCATTAATGATATTATTGTTATGTTTGTGTCAATACATAAAAAAACAGATTCATAATAGATACGTAAAAACTGATGGTTTTCACATTATTTATATTATTAACCAGATCTTAACACATAATTTTATGGCAAATAAAGGTATTTACCTCTCTCGACGTTTTGACTAGGTTAGGCACTAGTTGTTTCGTTGAACAATCTAGTGACGGTAGATGAAAAAAATATTGTCACCTATATACATTGACATCGCTGTTACTCCAGTCAGCTCGTAACCATGACTAGTGCAACCTAGTCGAAACGTCGAGATAGGTAAATACCTCTATTTGCCATAAACTTATTCGTGTTGAAACCCGGTTAATAATATAAATAAAGTATATTAAATACGAAAGTTAAAAATAACGTGGTTTTTAATTTAATCTATAAACATATGTGTTTTATTGATTATGGAATTTATAGATATTTAATTTAAGTTCAAAATCAGAAGTATGAATATTTTCCCAAGGACGACAGAATAGGGCAGCGTATTAAAATGAATAATATGTAACTTTATATTGCACTATTGTTTACAATCGTTATAATAGTGAAATAGTGATAATCTATAAACATAGAGAAGATACTGAGTAATTAATATATCTTAATAAAATTAACTACTTTCTAAAAGAAATAAAATACTATGCAGGTCAATATAGATAACATTTTAAAACTGATCCTTTCCACTTCGACCTTAATTTCCTAACGATGTTATTAACATTTCTTAATTGTAACAGATTAATTAATGGCTTTACGATTTCCTATAAACCATTCGTTGGGGATGGAAGATAAATTGTGTAGCTCACAATTGCAACAGTTATATGTTCTGCACATACATTAATAATTGTAGATTTTAATCCGTTTCAAATAAGAATTGTACGTAACATCTTTACATAATTAAGGGATTGATCATCGCATTGTTTTGTCCTCTTCGCTTATATTTGTATGTCTTTAGGAAAGAAAGGGATAGGAAATATTCAGTACAATCTCTGTGTATGCAATAAATATAGCTATCTATTTAATTCTTTAGATTATTAAGGCTTAGAATATTTAACATAGGAGGCCATTATATAAAAAAAGACCTCTCACCAAACAACCCTATATGAGAAGCCAAAAAGAACAAACATATTTCTAATCATTAATATGCTCTGTCACATTCTTTCAAATTTTATATGTACTTGAAAGAAAGAGACGGAGCTATTTAATAGCTAAAACGAGGTATTGTAATGTATATCTTTGGAGATGATATAGTTATGTATACAAAATGGTCTCCAGTGTTTGAAAGGTGTAAGTATAATTCTAAGATTCCATTTTAACTGTACTAAGGCTTACTTATATTTCACATTGTGATATAATATACATATGCGATAAACTATTTATATATAAGGTAGTTTCAGCCTCGTATTGTAATTAATATGTATGGGAAGTTATATGGAGTTTGTTGAGAATGTATATTAACAAAGGATTCAATGCATATTTTTTTAACGCTTAAATATATATGAATAAAAGCCTTATAATATTAAAAGGCATGAATTAGAAAGTAGTACATCTCCTTATTGATAGTAACTAAACCTATATTGTTTTAACTATTGAAGTGTTTTGTATTTTCTTTTAAATGCAGTAAGGAGCGTGAATGAAAGAGACAAAACAGAGACCTTTGACTATTTATGAGGTACAAGTAAATCAACGTAAAGAGGTTTTTGTGTCTGTAGTAATGTACGGTCAATAGATAAATAAATACACAAATATTTTATATTCCTATATCTATACATTTCTTTATAAGAAGCTATTTATTAAAAGCACGTTTATATCATAATTCTGTTCCTTCAATTGTAGCAATAAAAACTGTGAGTACTTCGTTTTCTTTCATCAGAAAATATTTAAAAATATGCTCTATTTTCTACTGATACTTACAATCAACTGATGCAATAGCGAAGCATAATTTACTATCAATGAATTAATTAATTTATTTCTTATTTCAAGCTACTACTCCACATGAAATCTATCAACGCACAGCCCA